AACAATAGTAACCGAATTACTATTGTCGTACTTGTCTACGTTGTATTTTCTGGTGACATTTTTAAAAACTGCTTTATATTTCCATCACGATCTATCTCAGATACGAGGGTCAAGTAATTTTGCATAGTGTTATATGAGCATGTTCGTTTACCAACAGAAAATTTTCTTTATTAATAATAAATTTATACATGAATTGAAGATTCCTTTGCTTATGTTCTACGTTTTGTTTTTTGTTTGTTTAACGGAGGTAATGTTAACGCAACCCAAGAGCGATATGCCAAGGGAGGTGCCTCCCGGATGGATTTTCTATGGGAAACTAGCCCCTATTTAGAAGTTAGACACGAAGAATTCCCTTTGTTGATTCAATTATGAGTTTAAAGTTGAACTTCGCCGAAGTTACATACAGTTTCTTCGGATACTGCCGCGAAACATCTTTTATGCCATCACTCAATTCATGCTTTTAACAGTTTATCTTTATGATCTCCTTTTCCCTTTTTTTGAAAAACTTTTGTTGAAAGCTTCAACACTGTCTTTAGGAAGACTTCGATTTTTATAAACGATGGAAAAAGTTTACAAAATGCTTCACGTGTTGCAGATTCAATGAAACAAGGATTCACAACGGGGCTTTGCGTTTTTTAAATATGCTGCTCATGGTTATTTAACAAATATAATACGGCACTCACCTTCGTTACTACATGGTTACACCAATCAACAGAGCGAGTAATGAAACACTTAAGCATCAGCACGCTGTCCCCAGCCTTTTTGGAAATAGATCATATAGACAGATATCTGCGAAATGGAAAATGGAAAAAGAATTACAAACGAAAATAGTTATAAACTTAAGTTACGAGTTTAATTTTTAAAACTATTTTAATTATTTTAAATTTGACTTCATTCACAACTTCGAACTATTTTGTCTACTTATACTGAATTTTAGTCAGGGTGGCACTAGGTCAGGCATAGCCAACATACGGCCTACGGGCCGGATCCTACCCATCTAACGAATTTATGTGGCCCGCGATCAATCTTTCAATAATAGCTACTCAAGTCCGAATAGCTCGATAGAAAAGTTTTCTTCCAATTCGGCCCGGGGGCAAAAACTGTTGGCCATCCCTGCACTAGGCGGTAAGCATGGTAAGCAAAGAATATGGGTGGCCCCTCTACGGCTGAAAATTTGAGAAAAAGAATCAGAGGGCAATTTCAAATGATTTTTCCATTATTTTTGAAGTAAATTTTTACTTTTTAAATATCAAAAAATAAAAATCATTTAGTCTACTATTTAAAAAATAATCGAATTCAGAAACAGTCTAATACAAAGGGCCGATAAAGTTGAAGTATATCAATTAGTAATTATCAAGTTTAGTGTCACTCCATACGGCTGTTCCTTAGCATTGTACTCTAAGGCTTAATACACATCATCATATTGAGTATCTGAATTTAGGTAGCACTACTTTATATGTCAAACACATTTTTATTTACTAATTTTACGGCACTGTCTAATTCTATAAAACAGCTTTCCTCTCTGATCTTTTATATAACTAGCGGCACTTCATTCCAGACTGAAGAGCAGCGACGGCTTGCGGATTCACATTACATTATTAGGGGGCACTAAATTAAAGCGATTTGTCACTCTGCATAAACAGCCAATTCCTACTTTTGTTCTAAGACTTCCTTAGCTTATATAATAAACGTTGTGTAAGATATACATACTATATTATATATCTTAACCTATATATGTTAATGTATAGGTTAAGATATATAAGGTCGATTTTTCGAGAAAAATGGAAAGAAGATCGGTATTTAAAAACAATTGGCACAACTTTCGCCGTATTTTGAATCAAATATCGGATAGCACGCGCTCGTTTATATACATTTTTATAAATTACAATGTATACAATTTTATTTTCTCATTGACTTAACATGAGATGACCTTTAAACCCCGATATCTCTCCTTCTAGATCGAATTTTAAATTTCGGCCTCCGTCACGACACGGCACGTTATCACTTGTATTAGTGTGCAAAATTTCCTTCAAATTGGTCAATTCATTACTACGCAAAACGTCAATTTGAGTCGCTGCCAAGGAAGCTCGCTTGCTTCGTTTCAAAAATACGGTTGCCAATATTCTTGTAAGAAAAAAGGAGGTCATTGTACAACGGAGGACATTTGTAAGAGTAGTTTGTTATAAACATTTGTAAACTAACTGTAAATTATTAAACACTAGACAATATAGTAAATATACGGTTTTAAAACTCTAACAAGTATTACCAACTGTTGCACAACGCCGCCATAAATTTCATTTTCTTTCCCTACTCCGATTAAAAATAGTGTCTTTCTGTTACTGTAGAGAGCGATAAAGAGGAAACTTACTGTAGAATAAGAAAATAAAATAGAATGTCGTCTAACAGTAATATTTCACTGATATAAAGTGAAATTAAACAAAAACAATTAAAACTGTACTCAAAAGGAATACATCTGTATATGATATATATTAAAAGCAAATGTTCCGTCACTGCCGCATACAAATAACGTAAATTTAAAAGTTAATTTGATTTACAATTTGAAAATTTCAAAACAACTTTTAAACGGTTAAATCAATTAAAAATAAAAACATTGTTTTAATTTTCAATTTGATTTTAATTTTAATTAGTTAATTTTATTATTTTTAAGTTTCATTATTATTTTTATTTTAATTAATTTTTAGGTTTAATTTATTTACTTGTTTATAATTATAAAATTTTTATTTATTTAGTTTATTTTGTATTAATTTTGCCTGCATTTTAAACGCTTAATTACAAGTTTTTAATTAATTGCAACTCTTTCTTTTTTTTGCGACATAACTATAGAAATTGTTTTGTTGTTTCGCACAAAAGATAATCAAATTTAAATTTCTTTTAATTTTTTTTGTAATTTCATTAATTTTTGTTTTATAAATTTACCCCGCTTTTTAAAATTTTAATTATAAGCGAGTTAACATTGATTAAACTATCGGGCTATCTATTGATAGTTATTGATAAAATGAGGACCAAAGGACAATACAGTTCAAAGGACGATATGCTCCAGATAACTACTGTAATTACATTAAGTTAACTATGAAGTTTCCATTACGCAGTTTCAAATCTTCAATGTCCCTTTTTAAAATTTTATTTTTCGTTATTTAACTGTACCAACTTAGACTCTAAAATTTGCTATCAATTTTTGTAATGAAAAACTTCAATTAGTATTTCAGTATGAAAATCATAATTGATTTAAATCATAGAATCGATTTTTTAAAATGACAATTTATTAATAATTAAATACTAATTATGATATTTTATTGACATACCTGCATTTGGAGGGTCTGGACTTTATTCACTTGTTACGAATGCATTTTCCCCGTCCTAGATGACAACCATAATAAAAATATTTACTACATTTCATACATTTTACTTATTCCTGTAAATTAAAAATTTTACAATTAGAAAGTTCGCAGTTGATAGCCGCCATCACAGACGCCACCTCACTTATTACTAAAAAGGTGACTAATAATTTTTACTTTTTTTTGCAAAATTAGCATTGTGCTTGAATTTATATTAATATTTCCGTAACTTTATTCATCGGAAATACGCATAAATTGCTTAGTATCTTAAAAAAATCAGCCGTGCGCTGTACTGAATTTCCGCAACTATAAAGCCTAGGCTGCATGTAATATACTTTTCGTTTCAGATGGCTCGATCTGCAAGATCGGACAAGTCTTTGTCACGTGATACAGATCGCTTCTGTCGTGCTTTAGTTGGCGAAAAGTATACAAATAGGATCGAATCGTATTTACTGTTAATGAAATTGCTCATAAAACGGCAAAATGGGAAAGTGCACGCCATGCATTCTTGCCGTACAATTTCGCAAAATTCTCTCTTAATATTTATTTTTTCATTTCAGTTTATCGGATATTTTAATAATGATTTTTTACTTACCGTTCATTAAGTTTTAAATACTTTTCATTTTCGACAGTTAAACATATTTTTTACTGTCAACTATCAGCTTGATGTTAGAGGTCGCCATCTTTAATCTTTTTTAATTCATCCAAACGATCCTACCATTCACTCGGATTAGTTTGATCGCGATACAGTTGATCCTAGATGGCGTTTGTATACGCGGATAGAGATTGAGCAGATCGCTATAGTTCGTTTCTATACAATTAGAGTAATCTTGGATCAGTTTGATTACAAAAGTATATGCACCCTTGCCTTCCACTTGCAAGTTTGTATGGACTAGTAATGGCGGCCAACGTTCGGGGCAAAGATATAGAAGTTTATTCCATTGAAAGTGATAACGTTTGCGGTTACGCAAAGGAACCAATTAGAAACATTAAAACATCTGCCAATTAGATGCACCCACTCTATAGCATTAGAGTCCTCTAAGGCTATCAAGAGAAGCCTTAGAGGAAGCAGCAAATATTCGAATTGTGGAAAATTCCTTGGCTGCGCGGCGAACCACTATCGCTCGTTGTTGTCAATGGAAACTTGCGGGTGGAAAGAAAGCTTAAAGGCCGATTCACGCTATCGCGGTAGAGATTTTTGTGTTCTCCATTCTCGCTGCAGAGAAAACCGCGTAGTAGTTTTCAAACACGCCCGAAAATTCACGCCGCAATCGAGTTAAAATTTTCTCAATGTAAAAACCCGTCGCTTATTTCGCTTTCCAACTGCGCGAGATGACGTCGCGACCCAAATTTCGCGCTGAAACAGCGACAGTGTAAACTTAGCTTAAAGCGGTTGCAATCGCTTCGCGTCGCTAAGGGACAGAAATAAGCGTCAAGTATTTTATCACTTTACGTAAAATAATTTCTGCAGGAAAACGAGAAAAATAAGCTTAAATCTTTTATTCGAAGTTTCTTCGTTAAAATAAAAATATAAAAAAATTCAAATTATTGCGATTAAAACGAAATTAACATCTGCGAAGAAGAAATTCGCAGCCCATTTACACTTTTATTAATTTTGTTCCTTCTTTAAAATTCTAAAGTTTAAATATTTATTAATTTTCAAAATGTGGAGATTTTTTACTTTAACGCGAGTTTTAATTTCATATTTGGTTTTAATATATAAGTACGATACGAATTTCTTTTATTTCGTTGGGACAATTACCATAATTAGATTGGTTAGAAAGTGAAAGACATTCTTTCGGAATGCCTTATGCAAATCATTGCTAAGGTGTCCCGGCACAGTAACATCGGGTGAAGTATTATACAATTATATACATAAAAGTGAAGTAGGATTCATCTTTTGATGGAGCATTCTTCGTCCGATCCGTCCCAACAATCCATCACTCCGTTGCAAAGATCTTGCTTAGCTACGCACTTTCCCAGTTGACATCGATGACCGTTACAAGACGAAATCGTAGAAGCACTTGCCGTATCTTTTTCTGTAGTAAATTAATGATAATTCGTTATCTTCGCCGACGGCAATCCACGCGTAGACGTCATCGAAAACTCACCTAAAATCGAATGCACCCAACTCAAAAAGCTGGTGACTTTTGTGTAGACCCCGGGCCTACCCGGTCTACCGCATCCGTCTCCGTTACTGGTAATACCCACCACTGTCCAACGACCGTCCGATCGTTGACACAATAAAGGTCCTCCGGAATCTCCCTTTAAATATTTAATTAAATGTAATCAAGTTTATCAAATTACAATCCGATCAGTTCGTGGCTACTCACCAAACAAGCGTCTCTTCCTCCTCTTTCGTACCCCGCACAAAACATCTGTTCGGTAATTTTATACAATGGAAGAAATACTGTTCTCTTTCGGCATTCTTCCGTATCCACAACCGGAAGCCACACTTCTTGCAAAGTATCGGCTGCAATCGTTAATTTCGTAAATTTGGGGAATGTATCGAAATTAAGAATAACAAAATGATCTTGCTTACGGAATAAGTGTCCGACTTCAAATAATTTTCCCCATCCTACTACCGTGCAAAGACGATTGTTCCACTGTTTGATATCTTCATGCAACCCAGGAAGACATACGGGACGAATATAATCGCTATAAAGTTAAGCGACTCGTTTTATTTTTTTCCATTTCTCAAAAAAATCGCGCGTTTTTAATATAGTTCTGGAATTAAATTATACAATGCCATAATTAATACCTGAACTGTACTGGATTTTTCATACCCAGAAGGGCGATATCGTTAATAAATCCCGCTTCTTTATAACCGGGATATATTAAAATATTAGAAATTACTCGAATTTCTTCGTAAGGAGATGGGTATTCGTTACCTCGTCGTAATAGACCCAGTCGTGCGGTCCAATAAGAAGTTTTAGAACTAAAAGAATTTTCAATTTCATTATAAGTCTATTAATACTTTAATAGTTAAAATATTTCGATTCTTACTGAAAGAAGCAATGCGCTGCCGTCATTAGCCATCGATTATTTATCAGCACTGCACCACATTGAAACTCTCCTTCTCTATAAAGAGCCACTTGCCACGGCCAAGATCCAGATTGGGAGCTTTGTCCTCCTATAATCCTACTTCGATTAACAGATGGAATAGGTCGTATTCCACACTCTAAACAGAGATTCATTAAATGAACCAATATCCAAAAATTTTGTAATAGAAAAACCGTTCAATTCGTACCTAAAGAATTGCAACTGACGTGGATCATTTCCTTTTTCCGGCAGATTATTTGCTGAACATCAACGGACGATCTACGATAGAAAAAAATTAATACAGTCATTCTAATGTAAAATATTAGTCCTAAATATTAAAAAGAACCTTACTTAGATACAATGTTTAAATGATCAAATTTATAAAAATTAGGTGTCGTTACAGATCCGGAACTCTTGACGGAAGAATTGAAATTTCTGCAAATAATCTTCATTGCATTGATAAATTTTAAAAGGAAATAATAATACAATTTATTTTTCTTACCTATATGTCAGAGTATTACAGACAGATTGTCCTACTTGTTCTATATCTGAGGGCATAAGATTTTCTGAACACATCATTCCCCATACTCCATTTTTTCTAACGGCAACGAATCCTTCCGAGGTATAATGATGATGGTCGTAATCTCCAGGAGTTTGGGTTAGTTTCACTGAATAAAGTGTAAATAATGTACATCTTTTTAAAAATATTAATAATTTTATAAATTTAATACATAGATAGATAAATGTATATATATTACTCACTGCAATGATTCTCATCACTACCAAACGGACAGTCTTGAATTCCGTCACATATCCGGAATTTTTCGATGCATTTTTTAGAGTTAGGACAGATGAATTGATCTCGAGAACACCAAGCTGATCGATAATTATCAAATCAATGAGTATTTATTTAAATCGCAAAACCAAAACTACAAATATTAATACTTACGGCATTGTAATTCATCGGTTTGATCCCAGCAATCGATAATTCCATCGCATATTTTACTATGTAAACGTTGAGCCCAGAAATATTCTATACACGCTGAAAATAAATCAGTCTTCAGTTGTATACAAATCCACTTTTTATTTAATTCCATTTACTGTATATAATTCTAGTTTTATAATATTTCAATTTTGGAAATCTGAAAAACATCTACGACTTGTTCGTCCGAACTGTAATGTGTACAATGTTAAGAACATCTTAAGACAACGTTCTTAACAGGATTTTGATGCATAAATTAATTTGTTATAATATAAACGTTAAGCAATATAATTTCGTGGATATTAACGTGATATTAGCGTATAAATATGCAAATGAGCTGCAGGTTGATATGCGGTATCATGAAGAAGCTTTCCAGTGAGAAGAAACTCCATATTGTGGACCTGCTGAAGAAAATATTCTGTTGAGAAAACAGCATCAGAAGTTGGTGTTGGGCGTTCGAGTGTATCCAGAATATAAAATACTGAGCTACCATATCACGTTTAAGAGCTGGCAGGAAGAAAACGTTGAGCGCCAAAACAGAAACGTTTGATAACGAGTGAACGTTGCGATACATCACAAGTAAAGAGGGAATTGAAACTGCTATGTTCTATACCTAATAGAATGGATAGCGTTATTTACACTGAGATACTTGACGATTATTTGTTACAATCTGTTGGTTATTGCCACATTGATAAGAGCTCTTTCGTTTATCAACAAAATAATGATCCAAAACATACATCCAAGTGGGCAATGTCATGGCTTCGGGATCAAAATATTAGTCTGCTTGAGTGGCCGCCTCAATCGCCCGATCTCGATCCGATTGAACACATCTGGTCCCTTCTTAAACCTCGCTTGTCTGACTATGCAACTCCGCCTGAAAGCAATTATGGAAACGTGTACAGGATGAGTGGAACAAAATAACATTGCACGATGCAGAATTATTATTAATTCTATGCCCGATAGCATTAGGAAGGTTTTAAAGGCCAAAGGAGGCTATTGACGTGTACCTTTTCCACAAATATGATATATATTTGTCTGCATCAAAATTCTCCCAACGCATATGTTCTTTGTACGTTACTATCATTAATAAAATAATTGTTGTTTAGATAATTATATACGTAAACATATAAATGTTACTGTGAAAGACCGAAATTAGAGAATGTCGATATTCTCTGGTGAATGTTGACACACACAAAATACGTCGGTGAAAGACCGAATATTTGGTTATTATACATTCGAACAATAGCCGGTATATGTTGACAAGAGCAGATAAGCTTTGGTGGAGGTCAAAACAACACCCGAGAAGCCGATATCGACAGAGAGAATTTGGCGATAGTCTGTCGCCAAATTCTTTGCCATTTCCTTCTGCTTAAATTGGCGATACTGTACGAATACAAGTCCCCGATGTCGACCGTGGCCGTACAGATGCTTGAAATGTGTTGGCGGTTGTTGTTGGAATAGAAGACGCCGACTTTTATAAATTAGCAAACAAAATTACTCTCAAGCAGCTTTATACCCGCAATCAGTTCGTAATTTGTAAAGAAAAGTTACTTTCCATAGATAATATTTCTTCTCAAGAAATATCGCTGAGAGAAGCAGCTGCAGCTAATTCGAAAAGTGGAGGGCAAGGTTATACACGCTGTCATTGCAAAAAGAAGTGTTCCACGAATAAATGCAGTTGTAAAAGCAAGGGACTCTTGTGCAATTCAAAGTGCCATAACAGTTTAAGTTGTTGCAATAAATAAGATTATATACCGTTAATCACATAATATATGTGTGTGTGTAATTTTGTGTATTATTTTCTTTAATGATTTAGAATGTACTGTTCGTTTTAGGTTCAACAGTTTATTTACATGTGCTGTTACTTAAGTTTTCTCCTAATATTAAAAAGTTGCATTTTTGTCTTAACGTAATAAAAATATTTTTATTCAACATTCACCATCAGTGCATGCTAAATGTCGACATTTGCCGGTGTAAGTCAGAAATAATGATATTTAGCAAATATTTCGTACATACACGAAATGACTGTGGGAATGCTGACATTCATGGAGAATGTTGACATTCGCCAGATATCGGTCATTCACAGTAACATAATAATGCATATAAATATAAAGTTTTTCGTACTAAAATGTGCCTGGCAACATTTTCCAGTTCTTTAAAATAGTCTCCTGCATTCTTTGGGAGGATTTTGACGTTTAATGTACGTAGAAGGTTTCTTTATTAATAAAAAGCAATCTTAAAGATTTTACTTTTTATTCATAAACATAACGTTAATTTTATAGTAATCACTACAGTCCTAAAGTTTTCTCCGGGGAAAAATTCTGAGTTCACTCTCGCGCCGGCCTGCCTATGTATTGCATTGCTTTATCCTATCAATCGAGGGTTCGAGCCTAAATGTCTTATTCAACGTTTGATATTGAATTTATCCTATAAAATATCTTACAGCAATTCATTTCGTCGGACAGATCTCCACATTCAAATCTACGATTGCACCTCATGGTCCAAGAAAGGCATTTTCCGTCATTTCCACATCGAAACCCTTGAGAACAATCTGAAATTATCCAAAATCATAAAATATTTGAAATCAGATCAAAAGTAATATTTCGGTTAAGAAACTTACCCTGAGATAATGTAAGATTTTCGTTTTTATTCATTTGAGAATCTTTATTCTTTGAACTGAAAATTTTCAAAGGCGACAGATCCTCATCCGATTTTATTTCTTGGGAAATTTCTGAAATCTCCGTATCTTCATTTTGGGATTCACTTTTGACTTCTACAGGAAAAGGTTTTATTGTGCTGGATAACATCATATTGACCGACATGTCAGACGATATAACTTTCGCTATTCCCGAAAAATTCTTGGAAATCCTTGGAGTGGACATCGACTCTTTCAAGTTATCGTTCGTTTGCTTTGAGTGTACGGATCTATTCGAGCGTTTCAAGGATAAGGTGCGCTCGACATTTAACGATCCATATTCGCTTCCGTACCTATGTTCGAATCTATGTTCGGAAGATCCAGAGTTTCTATGACTATTAGCAAGGAACGAGGATTGAGGACGAGAATATGAAGGATCTTCGTTCTGAAGAGATGTCTTCCGAGTAGTCGACAACGGATAGATTCGTTTTAAGTTTCCGAACGACGATGGATTAGGATAACGGTTTTTAAGATTAATATGTAATGACACACCGACGGTCAATTCGGTTGTTGAAACGGGAGTAACGGGAATAAATCCAGAATCTCCTGTTTGTTTGTCTGATTCTAGCGCATATACATGAGCTTCTCCTAATCCGGTTCTTTTTGGTGTCGCTTGAGATTGCTCCGAGTCGCTTCTTCTTCGCAGGGCGTAATAACCCTGCCAACTGCTGTTATCAATAGAGGGATGGAAATTAGTGGATTCGGAAGAATAACTTTTATTTTCTTGTACGGTTTCGTTTTCTTTAAGAGCGAACTTTGTTTGAGAGTTGAGACCATCATTAGAATTTTGAAGATTCTCGAAAGTAGATCGATTTATTGAAGTAGAATTGAACCTTTTCGATTGCTTCGTAATAAAGATCGGGACCCAATCTTGTTTATCATTTGTATCCGTTATTTCCAATGGAAACAATTCGGAATTAGATGTGATATTCGAAATTTTCTTAGTTTCGTTCGTCGAACTTTGAAAAATGGAAAGTGAAGAGGTTGGATTCGACGCTTTGACGCTTAGAAATTTATGCAGAATTTGACTATTATTTACTTCTACAGACGGTTTAAGTCGTCTTTCTTCTAATAAATCTTCGTCCTCGTCTTCGATATCTATATTGTGGCTAACGATCTGGGAACGAGATGTAGAAAATGGAATGGTAATGATTCTGTCTGTGGGCAAGGGATTGTTAGTTGGAATGTAAGGAAGCCAAGAACCATAATTAACGACGAGTGGTTTCTTAACATTTTGATGACTTTCGACGTTTTCCGCTTCCTCTTTCGCTTCGATAACTTCGCTCGTACGAGTAGGGGTCTCTGTATAAATATTTAAATCTTCAGTATCTTTAGTAGTATCATTGTTTTTCCTTTCCCTGTAATCTTCTGTTATAACTTCACCGTTTCTTATAGACGTTAATAAATAATTTTCTGTCGATTCAGAAATATTAGAAATAAGAAAATCCGGAGTATCTGAAAAAAAAAAATAATAATTTTAGAACATAACACACTTTCAAATCACATTAAACATCATTTAGTTTTATTCGTACCCAAATCTTCTAATAGGGAGATATTGAATTGTATGTAGTTTTCAAGATGAAGATTTGTAAGACCTTGAGAAAGAATCCCTCTGGCGATTTTTGGTGAATCGCCGATGGTAATGTTATGTAGTTTATTTTGGTCCAGATATATATGGAAATAAATGGAATCGCTGTGATTTCTAGTATAAAAATTATATAGTTTATTAATTGTCGACATTTAAATCACATTAAATTAAAACTACTTACCCAAACGTATGAACTCGAACACTTTTGATACTATGTTGTAAAATACTACGACTATAAATTGATTGTAACTACAAATAAAAAGGAAAATAAATATCGCATTATTATTAATAAGATTATAATACCAAGATTGTACTATACTTACTAAGTACTGATATTTGGCAATTTCTGGATGTATTTTTTCAGATGAAATATTTAAAAATGTCGAAGGAAATTGTTTTTCCGTGTTGATTAATAATTTACCATACAAAATAAAAACTGAAACAATTCAAATTTAATGTTGGTCTGTTATATTTTAAAAAAATATACAAACTATCGAAAATTACTTACTGGAAGATGATGGGTAGAAGTTTGTAATAACTGAAACAATTTGAAAAATTATTATACTTTGTATCTTTTTACTCCCCGTGGGCACTAAGACGGCCTGCTTTTAGCATGTCCATTATGGGTTCGGCCAAGCCCACAATGGGACGACCGGATGGTGAGGGACAAGGCCTACATCATTATTAAGCTATAATATTTAACTGGAGCAGCAGCGATTTGTTGTTAATAGCGGAGCACTGCAGTCAGAAGCTTCTACAGAAGTTGCATCACTATAGAACAAACCGCCATATTGTGATGGGAAGAAAGTTTTTGTTTTGTTTTTGAACTTGACATTGAAAAAGAGAAGATAAAATTAAAGAACAACATAAAGACGATAAAGAAAACATTAGGTCTATTTATCATATTGCAGCTGCATTTCCTATATGTTTCATCCATATATCTCTCGCTTCTGGGTAAACCTTCGATCTCACTTTTTCAAAATTTACTTAACCAATCTACATAGATTTTTTTCTTCGATGCGGAACACGATTATAATGATATTGTAAGTATTTATCCGGCATTCTAGTCAGGCCTCTGCTAATAGTAGTTTTTGATGCTATATCTGATTTTTCAACCCGAAAGTTTCTATGTTACGTGGATGTTGAGTTACACCTTATTAAAATCTCAAGATCTTTTGATAGGATACATTTTTCAATTTGATATAGTTCAGCCGAACTATATCAATTTGAAAAATATCCTTGAAATTATCCTTTCCAAGGATATTTTTCAATGTGCTTTTTACTTTCCCTGCTGTTATATATATACATAACAAGGGAAAGTATTGGAATCGTGTCAAATTTTAACCTCCGAGATTTCGTTTAATATTTCAGGATGGGGTAACGATTAAGAAACGAAATTTAGCATGGTAGTAGTTTCTATATAAGGGGAATTGATGCTATTAAATTTTGGTGGTTAAAGTCGAGAGGATGGGAAATAGAGGGAGTCACTTGTCATATCTCGAGAGGAATCGGACTTAATTTTACTCCTGATTAGCATTTACGATGTACTTTTTTTTTTATAAAACTTACTTCTACCCTCAAAATTAAAAGTTTTGCCATTTTATAATAATTAATAATATAATAGATTTTAATGATAAAATCTATAACAGATGACGCCGCAAACAATTTTATTCATTACAATTAAAAATATAAAGGTTATTTTTTAAACAAAATCTCATAACCGTCGGGAGAGTTTTAAATTTTTGCAATATCTAATTTTTTGACTGAGATAAACTAATTTTTGTAGCATTGTAAAAAATTGTCAAGAATGAAAAATTTCACGTATACGACGAAATTTAACATCAAAAATCTCTTATGACGTATAAATGATTTTGCCCGAAATCCTACCGAAGCCATTAATCTATAATACGTTAAAACTTGGGTTTTGATAAGTCGTGATTTCTATAGGCAGTACGTTGCATCATTCTTCTGTATTTAACACATAAAAGATGCAAATTTACATATACAGTACAATAAACATATAGTTCTACTGCTCGGTGCGTTTTATTTGTGTTACAAGTAGTGTGTCATGTTGATTAAGTTTAAAACACGTTCTCCTTATTAACTATAAAATTTACTTTCTATTTTTAATTTTAAAGCTTTTCTAATGTATAATACATAGATGTGGTTAATACTTACGCGAAGCTTTTCAATTAATCAAAAACTTTAATAAATAAATAAAAATCAGAAATGCTTCATTGAATTACAACTTTAAGCAACGAACTTACTACGCCAAAGATGGCGACTTCTGTCTTGCGTGCATATACTTGATTCCAGGGACTGCCACTCCAATATTATAGCTCCATACCCGACATATCCGGACGGACCACACCCGAAAAATTCTTATCCGAATTGGGTCCCGGTTCCCCCAGAGCGATAGGCTGCCTTAACCACTCGCCCATCCGGATGTCACACTTTGTACTATTAAAAAAATCAAATACAGTAGCCTATCATTATATCGAGCCTCGTTATATTGCAAATTCGGTTATATCGCGTTTATTTTTGGTCTCCAAATTTTAAAAGCACTCGAGTCAATAAGTTTTAAATTACCAATAGTCATTAAATTTCTTTTTGCATCGAAATACAACGGTATTTTATTCCTACCATTATCCTTGAAACTACCACTGCAGATGAAACAGTAAATTACATAGTACAGTTGGCGTTATGGTATTGATGTTTACGTAAACGTCATTCAAGACGATATAACCACGAATAAAATTTAGTATTGCAAAACGAAGCTTATTTTATATCAGAAATACTTGCTGATGAAATAATAGAGAGTAGAGAGTTCATAGCGTGTATAATCTGTTTAGTATAAGCCCGGAATTTTTAGTACTCGGTTATATCGCACTTTTTCTTTGTCTCCCGACAAGCGCGATATAACGAGGGGCTACTGTATTAAGTTATTGACTTATAACTTACCTCCTAAGTAAGCAGATAGAGATATAATGGCAAATATAGCCAAAATGACGACGCTGACAATAGTTACGATGGCACTGGTACTTCGACAGCACTTGATGATTTTCATTTGACATCGTTTCTTCTTACGTTTGCGATGAGGTGTGTATCTGTCTTCCCAGACTAGGTAAGGAGCTTTCTGGTGATAAGAGTTGGTATACGGAAGATAATCCTTCAAACAAAACATATTTAGACGAGCATTAAGAATTAAGTCTTGAAAGTTGTCAGTTTGCTAAATGACTGGATAGCATCCGCTATTTGCTGCTAGGACTTTAAAACAAGAGAAAATGAACTTATCCAAAGTGAGATAATCAATAGAAAACCACTTCGCCTGATGATTATAGTTACTGTATCATACCATTTTTTTAAAATAGGTTCGACGATAGTCTGCAACTATCAAAAATGATTAGTAGCGAAGAAACTTGACTTCTTTGCATCAATACGATATTTCACTTAGATATCAATTCTCTCTCTTTTCTTATAATTATTTCGTAGGAAAAAAATCTTTAATGTACATAGAGTAATTTATACTTATCGACCTCCCTTTTATTGAGCTGTATTGGCGAATAATTAAAAGGTACCACAATTTTTTCCTTTACAGCAGAATTTTTTCCGTTAAATTCGGAATGCATTACATCGGAGTCTGTTAAATCAAAAAAGCTTGCTGTATTTTTTTTGTAAATATAATTTTCCTTATAATTCTGCTTAGTTATTCAGAAATGTTTTTATAATAAGGGCATGTCTTGATAAATTTTTTCGATGTTATCTGATAGATTTCTATAGATATAGAGTACATTACATAATATGCCCAATTTTTTAAAATTACAGCTTTCGACAGTTCAAGTATTCAATTACTAATAGTTGTAATTAATTCCAGATTAGCACGTTTTAAGTAATATTTTAATTGAAAATACATTAATTTTATAAATATTAAATCGTTAAAAGTGTTTCAAAGTGTATAATTGGTTTTCTAATCTAGACAGAAATAACAATCAACAACCTTTTCCTTATTCGAAATTTAGAGAACAATAATTGGTGGGATGAACCAATGCTACAGGTGGGCGATGTACTTCCCGGGAAGACTATGAGAAACCCCTATTTCGGTATTAGTAAAGAAACCATGTAAACTTCACGTGGCCGCTCGTTGGGTGCGAACCCGCGACCAATTACTAGTGCTATTATTCTCTTGACCACTAGTGGGAACTTTCTTATTTATTAAATATAACAAAAATTACGCTTACGTACAGTTTAAAACATACATACAGGAGCTTCCTATTTACGAACGTTTAACTTATGAACAAATTACCAGAAGTATTCTATTAAGTACATCGAAGGATCAAACACTAACAATACGTGGTTATACTGTGTACAAACGTACTTTCTAGATTAGTTTCCCCGCGTTTCTTTATGCAGCGAGAGTGTACCGAAATGACGTCACGAGCAGTGTTGGCCAATTAGAAACCAGTATCAGTGTGTTCGCTATAAAGCGCTTCTCGAGCGCTGCATAAAGAAACGCGGGGTTTTCGACTTGCGACAAAACCTCGGAAACCTAACCTGTTCGTAAGTAGGGAAGCGCCTGTATTTGTTTTCGCCAGAAAATAACTTTTTTCTCAATTTCCATATTAAAAATTATTCGTATCCATACAATTTGCTATTTTATCAAATTAAAACTTAACTGTAATTAATATGTTGTAGGGCTTTTTTAAAATTTTGTCCGGAAAATATTAATATTGCGCGTTTTATATTCGAATAAAAATAATTTTAGCAACTGGAAATAAATTCTTTTATTCCCCGAAACGATAAGAAATATTCTGAATACGTTATCATATAAAATATACGAACAGCTGAGAAATTCAAACAGTATACAAGAAGCTGTAGTAGTTTCATCATTGTGATCTTTAGTTTAAGATACTGCATTTGGTAACGTCACCCTTAGTACTTAAATTAATTAATACATGAAGGAAACGACGCTAAAATACTTTTAAGCACGTGTTTGGAAGTTACTCGAAGCGAAAGATGTTGTCCCTTTCATTTTTTTTGATTTTTTTCTCATTACCCTCTACGATTCTAACAAGAGGCGATCTTTATCTGACAAAACGTGAAATTTAAGTCAACTATTGCAACTATTTAAGTCTAAAATACTTTTATAACAACAGTTAAATTTTCGATTTTGTACTAAACGAAGAAAGAAAACAGCGATCGAAATCTTAGAAACAGAATTCTCGTTAATACATTTAACTACTGAACCCAATGGGAACATGGAATGTTCGTAATTACTACTGTCCATTTAAAACGAAGTTAAAATGTCACCGGACTTCTTAAGAATGATGTAATTGGATAGAATCAATCTTGCTCAATTATTGCAAATAAGCTAAGCGAATTGTTACATTGGTTACAAAAACCTTCGAATTTTGCAACTTCCTTCCCTTTATTACGAATCACGTCAACAAACAAACAATTCTACCTATCGCGCAATGGCGCTTGTAACACCAAAATCATCTGTAAAAATAAATTTTTAATGTCTGTTTTATGTATTGCAACACATTCACTGTTAAAAAGCAAATCTTTCCTACCTTAAAAATAAAAATTATATATTCTCTTATTAACTCTCTGGGAACGAAACTCTCTTTATAACATATAACTCTATTGTTCGACTTTCGAACATAATGCGTTCCTAAAAATGTGTATAAACTAAGTTCCGTATATCTAAAATTATAATTTGGGACCGTGTATAACATATATATGCATCGCCAAATGGTAATTTTCAACTTATTTTCTTCGTTAGGCTGAGGTATTCGGGATTTAACCACGAATTGTCTTCATGCCACACCTACGCCTTTCCATCACTGTCATAAACTGGAAAACTTGTTTTATTGCTTAATATAGTATCCTTCCAATAACTGTCTGGCATAAATAAGCAGCTTATACAGATCCTAGATTTATTTCTTATAAGGGAGGGTGCAGCGGCACAAGCTATAAAAAAAAGGGCATCGTACGTACATATAAAATATACAGTATATATATAGGTATCACTTGATTAACGCAGTTAATTAATCCCTCGATGCTACAGCGTATATCAAAATCGCGTTAATCAAACACAGTGATACCTCGGTACTCGACCGAACAACCACCATTCGCTAGAACAAATTTTCGGTTAACAACAAATATTTTTATTTTTATTTTGTCATCAGTAAAAAGTTTTCTGTAATAAAAATGAGTAACTGATTTAAAAATAAAATGAAATCTTACGGCTCCCTTACAGATTAAGAAAAGGGCAACCCGAAGACAAAGGGGTGGACATGTGCCCAAAAGTACGGGCTAAGGTGTCAAAATGGTTTTCCTGGCAGAGGATCTTGTCCTAAAACTGTCGTCCTCCACTATGTTTTCTACAATTTGATCTACTGAAAGTGAAAATAAATTTTTTGTGCGTTACATAAAAATAACATTCTCACCAAATAGGGGCCTATCTTACACAGCTCCTTAAATAATAAACCATCCAACCAGCATCGAATACCCGATGCTGAGTTTCTCAGCATCAGGTATTCGATGATTTATTAATAACATTCTCATTTTTAAGCTACTATAATTCTACCTTTAAATAATTATACAGTCGACCCCCTATAACGCGGTAGATACGTTCCACTTTATAAGAATTTCACGTTGTAGGAATCCTTAAATACATGAGCCAATCACAGCCCGGCACGTGTGCAGTTTACGGACTACGGCTGTTTGAAAGGTTTTCTTCCATAAAATTAATCGATTCTAGACTAATTTGACTCAACATTTCCAAAACACGTATAATTTTTTGGGAATAATCCGTATAAACTATGCTATAAACAAAAAATTGTAGGATTACTTACCGAGTGTGCACCGTTCGACGACGCCATTGCTTAAGCTTGTTTTCGTCGCGGAGCAACGCACCAAATGGCGGGCGCGTTTTCTGATAAGTTATTTTTCTGCGAAAAATTCGTTGAACTTTGGAGACATCATTAATATTAATATAATTTTTATGACCGTTGAATAAGAAATGTTTTTTTCACAAGAAATGCATAAAATTACAGTACTGTATTAGACTTACAGTACCTAATTTATATACTGTACAGACGATAGTAAACTCAACTTACCCGCCTAAACTCTCCATAGCGTGTAAGTAGTTCGGCTGCTCGTCCACTATTGGTCCTGATTCCGACCAATCCTGTCGCGACACGAGTCGGCGATGACGTTTTACATTTTACAAGTCTCTTTTAGCATCTTTATACGAATACGGTCGCAATTTTTTCGCCGCGATATACGAATCCGCATTATATGAACCCGCGTTATAGGGGGTCGACTGTAATCTGCTTAAGTGCTCAAGGGCTGGATGTCTGTCCACTCTAGTTGAGACAGATGGAGATAGCCATAGCTGCCAGAAGTCAGATGAATTTATAAAGCTAATTTATAGTCTTTCGGTTATGTTTCCGGTCATGATTAGGATTAGGGTAATTGGATTGTTAAATAAGAAATTTAGAGATAGGATATCGCATAAACCAAAGGATAAGATTTAGTTAAGATATTACACGATAGAAGAATGGTGCTAGGTTTCCTCAACTTTAATAAATCTCATATTTATTATAATTATAAGAATACTGTAGTTAAATAGATTTGAGGTTTGATATTTACTGTATTCTGGGTCTTTCGGGGTGAACACCACAAAAATTTCTGATATTTCTATCGTTTATTATTACGATGGTAATCAAGTATGTTGAGATGTAGCCTGTGATTAGGATGATCTCTAAATTTGTTGATACTGAATGAAAATTATACTATAAAATAATTTTTGAGAATGAAAGAAATCGACTCGAATTCAATATTAGTTTTATTCCAATTTTGAAAATAATTAGTATAAGAAAATTTTAAGCTCAAATTAAACTAGCTTTTTATTGCTTCTATTCCTCAGAGTAATAAAAAGAATTAAATAATTAGATTTGTAATGATTTACTAGCGTATTTGTAAGAGAATCGAAATTCCACCCCATCATTCTACCGGAAAATTTCGACTAAAATTATTTTACTCGTACTACATGATCAATTTGAATTATGAATTTTTGCCATTGCGTTCAGAAGAAATAGTCAAACACAGCAAAGCGATTATCTCCAGTTAGATTTAAAATTTTTTCTCATGCCCTTGCACTTTCCATAGAATTCACACCTTCCAGCGAGACAGGTCTTCCAAGTTGAGAACTATTACGTAAGTCTTCCATTTAAAGCAACTTTTTATGTCCGAATGTTTGATACTCAGAAATACTGTATAGGACGATTATAAAATTCCCAACAACCTGAAAGGAGATTAATTGCAAAAAATGTCAAATAGTACTATTCACGTGATGTTTGTGTCAGAAAAAATAGCGATGAATTCGAATCTTCAATCGTTTTCGCTTATCTCGGTACTTTAATAAATGCATTCTTTTCTTAATCGACACATCTCAGTGTTTGCTTTTATTATAACTGTAGTTAACCCTTAAACTTGGCGCTCGTCTCTCGAAATGCCAGGTTATCTCGACATTATTCTACAGTATATTGATATATATCACTCTAAATAATTGTGAAGTTTTTATGTATTTACCAAAGTATGATAAACGATCATCATAACGCTTTCCAATAGTTAAAAACCTAATAACCTGAAACGATAAAAAAAAATCTGTTTCTCGATTTTACCATATAGTTTTTGTTGATCTTCAACTTTTCATTGATACAAAATATGATCGGCTTTTAAGAGCAAAATAACAATTTCGAATATTTAGGATTGAATTTATCGCCGAGAAACTCGGGTCTGTAGGTTATATTGCTTTTTCGCCTCTTACGAATAATCTTACTTCAGTCCGATTGATCAGCGAGTTTGGATACGAATCTATTTATTTTCTGAAAACTAAAAAGATTTTTTACATACAATGAATGTTGGAAAATAGAATACCATCCAAATAAACCGAAAACCATAAATAAGAATTTCCCAGTGCGAATGTACAGTACGCACTCAAATATTGAAAGGGTATATATTGAATATCTGGTTAAATAAAAAAAATTATGAGTTGTCACTTTCATGGTCCAATACAACTCGATAAAAATCCGATATGAAAAATCTAAGCTATTTTTCTTATACAATTGTCAAATGTATTTCTGTAATTTAAAAGTTCTTATCGCTAAAAACGCTATTTCATAAAAACAGCGAAACAATATTCAGTTAATTCGGAATCAACTAAATAGAGAGTGATCACCACCACATTAGATACTTAAAGGTCTTCTTCCAATATCTAACGTGGTGATTATTTTCTATTTGGTTGATTCTGAATTATTTGAACAAATCCAATCATTCATATATAGGAATTAATAATGACACGAAAACGTAGTAAAATTGGTTTGGATGTATTTCAAAGATGTGCTTACGATAAAACCAAAAGCTAATTTTTTGTTAGTTTCTCCGCCTCGTGGACACTAAGAGGTCCCTGTATAAAAGTAAGCCCATTATGGGTTCGGCCGGATCCACATGGGGCGGCTGGATGGTAAGGGACGGGGTTAGACGTATTCAGAATGATCATACCCAAAAAATTTCTGTCTGGATTCGATTCAGAGTTCCCCCAGGGCAGTAGGTTGCCATCTTAACCTCGCGGCCATTCGGCCGTCAAAGTTAATCTCGTTTATATAAATTGGTCTATTCTCTTTTCGTATAATTGTTCGGTGAAAACATTTTCATTGTTCTCAAATACGTATGGACGATGACAATAAAAAAAATGACGTAAGAGGAAACGCTTATGTTTCGCTTAATTTCGTCTAAAGTCTAAAGTTTTCTATACAAATTATCCATACAAATTTAGTGTCGAACGTTTTGTTCGACACTAAATTTGTATGGATATAAAAATTAACGGAGGAAATTACTGTTACTCGAATCGCCAGAATTAATATAAAGCGATCTGATTATTATTAACTGAAAACACGAGTGGATGAAGGAATTACAATTATTTAAAATTCTATTGTCCTGCAAAGATTGTGTCAAGAACCGTCTATCATAAAGCACCATCAAAATTCCAGAAATTAAATGACACTCGGATTTATAAACGGATAAAGGGGTTAAATTACATTAAAATTACATAATAAAGTTTTAAACATAAGTTTACTCAAAACTTGTAACATAACACCTCAATCTACTCGATTCCAGATTCCCTGGAATATTGTTAATTATTGTCGTACGATCTACATTTGACTTTTTTATGTTAAAAACGAATTTATAAAAACAATGCATAACAATTGAAAAATTAAACAAAGCTACAAGAGCATGAAAATTTTCTAATCTCACAGAAATAGCCTCTGAATTTTTTAAAACACGAATTGAAAAACTGGAAAAACCGATTGTTTTCAATCTTTATTACGAATAAAAAACATTATGTAAATTAACTCATTTTGTATGCGCATTTTTTTCTAATACACCGTGACTTGATATCTCGTAGAATAGAGGAAATATGCACTGTAACACAATGTGCTTCAATCATTTTTATATGCAGGGATTTTTATATTAACATTTTTTTCTGTCTACATTCTATTTGATCTCGCATGTTTTACGTTTTAATCGAATGATTCACTTATCTATATCAATTCTAACATCAACTTATAGTAATATCATCGTAAGTTTGATACAAACAATAGAAATAAAATAATAAGAATCTGTTGTCTATTTTGTATATAAATTTTATCTAAAACGAATATTTAAACTTTTATCCGCTTGCAGGCAGAACATCTACATTTAATGAAATACTCCACGAACTCCTATTGAAGTTTCATCTTATAAAAATCGTTAACATCAATCGATTGCAGCACGACTAAGGTCTATTTCCTTCCACAATATCGGAAACGTTTTGGTTTCACTTATTTGACCTTGGTTACGTTCATTTATTCCTCGAAGAAGGAGAAGAAAAACTGGATTCGTTGCAGAAACGAAGAAGAGGTTATCGACCCGCATTATCCTGTTTATCCTAACCGAAAAATTTCTCATTTCGACTATTCTAGACAATTGCAATGCCGACAAAAACCGATAACTTTTTCTCTTTGAAATCTTTTTTTTTTTAAATATTTGGCTATCGAACGATTACCTTCGTCCAGAAGTTCAATTACAAATTTAACGTCGGGATTTTTAAAAATAAATATCTACAACAATTACATTAAAATAATAGATTCTTACCTCATCTCGATGTGTCTTATTGTGCATCCCGGGTATCGATCTATTCCAGACGACGTTGGATTACAATTGACTCGACGGGAATAGGGATGGCAATCTCAGTTTCGGCATCGTACTAAGAAGCACGCGGGATCTCATGCGATCTCGAAGGTCATCCAACTAGACAAGAGATGAGTTCTGAAAACTCGTTCGACTGGACTCGGGCTTTATCGAGTAACCTTGACTCTTAGCGGTGTCAATGCGATCGTCTAACTTCTCCCGAAAACACTAATATCTCGCATACATTCTTAGCATTACAAAACGCGATCTCTGCCCGTGAATTTCTTACCTTCTCTCTTTTCTCTCTCTTTTGTAAGGAATTTACATTTCAAAATACAAATAACGTTTCCAAACAGCGTTTATTTTAGACAATTAAATTCATATTGTATAATAATGTTTATCGAAAACAAATTTACATTTATTCTGGGTCTAAATTGCCTCTTTCGGCGTAAAAATAAACGAATAAAATTATTTTCTCGTTTAAATTTCTGTGTATTGAAATAATACATCGGTACATGAAAATGAGATTATTTTAACATAGAACAAATCGTATTATTATCGATGAGCGAACAAAAGTTGATACTAATACTGTGCTACGATGTGAATGTTATGAGATTTTAATCTGTCCAATATACTTAAAATACATTCTTTATACAACGCCGGAGACACGAGAAAGAATTATTTCTTGAGATGATTAAAATAAAATAAACTGATATTGATTTCGTTACACTTTCGTACTATTACACTCTCGGTGTGAAATTGTAATAGATTCCTTAACTCACAAAGACAGCTATAATGATGTCAATCGGCGATTTAAAAAAAAATTATAGATTATACTATAATAAAGTCTAATCTATATGAAAGATGAACTGTCATTGTGCTGATTGATTCATTGCAAAATATCTGTTTCTCTTAAATTTAAATTAATGAGAGTCCCCGTATAATATTCTTCCACCTTGAATGCAAACATGTTTGTATATTTACAGGTAGTTTCGAGAATATGGGACCCGCTTTCAACTGCTATCTAAAACAGTTTAAAGGGTAACTGGCAGTATCGGACGACCACAATATCAGAAGAATCATGTCTTGCGTCTTCTTTTATTTGGACTTCCTCTAACGGGTGTTTCTGATCTTCTCCTTCCCCCTACTGAAGATCCACTACGAGGACTATAATTAACACTACGAGTCGAAACGCCATTAATGTTATATGATGATTCGACTGCGGGAGATTCATCTGAATTGTCTAATAAAATACATTTATTATTAATAGTTTATAGGGAGCGTTAATAAGAAACGAGCTTTAAAGTTACCATAATCGATGCCTTGTTTTCTTCTACTAGAATCACTGTTAGAAAACTGTTTACTGGGAATGGACGTTGTCGTAACAGAGCTCGTATGGCCACGTCTTGGAGTGCTGCGTAATTCCGGCGGCATATTCAGAGAAACCCCTCTTGTAGAAACTCGAACTGGTGAAGAATTTTTGGACGTCGACATTCCTGCAAATACGTTTTAAATAAAATTATAGTAATCAGATAAAGAACGCTTTCTCCTTAAATACAACGATTACCTAATTTTTCTTCAATCTCTTGCAATCTTTTCTCAGTTTCAAGAAACTCTTGCACCTTTTCCTTCATTTCTGGCGTTTCTTCTAACAACTTTTGTTCCTGAAGTTCTTTTTGCGCTTGTTGATTCCTTTCTATTGCATGTTTCAATGCTTCTAATAATGCTGTAAACAATTTTAACATTTTTTAAATATTGTAAAATTGATATTATGAATTAGTAAAATTATTTAAATTATTTTAAATAATTATTTCTTTTTAGAGTTGAAATATAAGTTAATAAAAACCGAATATTTAAAGTAATAATTTTTCTTAATTATACATGTACACTAATAATTTAAACAAAACGTATCTTCCAACAAAAAATTTTCAGTAAGAAATAAATCAATGTAATATTTTATTTGACTGAACTGGATTTAAATCAGAGAAGGCAAAAATATAGGACAAAGTTGTTCTGTGTCATATATTAATTTGCATTTGTTATCATCATAATCTACAATTTTTAATATTAATTTATATCCAAGAAGGCATTTTAACACTAAACATGGAAAGTATAGAAAGAGTTATTTAATATACAGTACAATAAAAGTATATATAATGATACTGTATATTTTTAATTAAAAGATATAATTTCACATTATCCACAATAAGAAGTGTGTCTTTAATTAAAAGTATTTTTGCTTTTTGACAAGAAAAGCATCAGTTAAAGTTCAAAAATACAAAACAATTTCAGTTACATTCAAGTGATGATTTAAATTTTAAATCAAAATAAACAAATTTTTAAATACTAACATTTGTTTCTTCTTTTACAAAATGTTGAAGAAAATGTGTCATTCCTTGTCACATATAGTTGCACGTTTTAATGTGCAAATGTTGCATGCATTGTTAGTCTCAATATAGATGGCTTCTACCAGGAATAATATTTTTTAGTTTCTTGAGCTGAACACCAACTATCTTGTCCCACTTTAGCTTATAATTGTCCTCTGAAAATAGGATGGCTAGTGCCATTGTCGTTCTCACGTATTTTACATCATACTGCAATCCATTTGATTAAATTTCTCTCTGTTGTTCAATATATAACAAATGTCTGCTTCCAGGTTTTTCTAGCGGCATGGCATATATATACTCCAGCTCTTTATTTGTTTCTCATCTATCCCTATCATTGAATAAAATCTATATAAGGTAGTCAGCAATTTTACTGGTAACTGAAAGATTTTTGCATAATTTTAATAATTTATATGTCATGTTTGCTGCAAAGATACAGGGATGGAAGAAAAATGCAATTTACAGTCTGGTACTGAAGTAGCTGGAGGAAAAGTTTGATGTTTAATTTTGTTGTTTAAATACTTAAATTTTGAAGTAAGTAGAAAAACCACTATTACTCATAGAGTTCTAAAAAACTTATAACTTTATCTGTAAGACAGATTTGAATGAAGAATATTTGTACACTCTTCTTATGTGAGAAATGAATGCTGCATTGACAAAGCTGCTAAACTGGTAGGATTCTTTGATAGGGAATAGTGGTGGTAATTTGCTTTTTTGATATACACTAAACTGGAAGTTACTGTTTTGATAGGATGTTAACAAGTCAAGGAATGCTAGTTTGTTGTAACATCCTTTGCTTCTAGTGCAAAGATTATAGATTGAAAGATGTTGCTGATATGGTTTGAAAATATAGCAAAATCAGCCTTTTCATGCTTCCATCCTATTAATCAAAAGAGGCAATCATATCTAATTAATCTCTAAATTAATAAATATGAGATATGGAATTGTAAAAGGTCTACAAAATTAGAAGAAATTAGAGAAAAAGTGGCTATTAGATCTTTCCTACATTATAATTTGTGAAATGAATTCTACAATAAAAAGCTGTGAAATCAATCCAAAATAATAAAAACTATAAAAATATGAAAATGTTTTAAATTATAATAAATCAGTGAAATTAATATATGAAGTACATTTAGAATATTTATATCATATAATGTTAATTGTAGAAAAATATTTAGTTTTCAATATAAACTATTTAGATACCATTATTACTGATATAATTTTCTATTATATGAATCCAGAATTGATTTGCTAACAACTCATTTTTATTAACAGGAACTATAGAGTTTTCATATGAAATAAAATAAATTTGACTGGCAAAATTAGCATTTACTATATATTTTTAATGTTTAAAAATATTTAATATTTTGGAAGTCTCTGAATAGAAATGTATTCAAAATACTTTTTCTTTAAATTTTGCAAAACTTTTAAAATATCTTTACTTTTTTAAAAGAAGGGGATAGATGAATTCTGTAATGAGGCTTTTCAATGTATGGTTAAATGTAAAAATTAATAATAATAAAGAGAAGTAAACAATTATTATAATTAATCTGAGATTTATAATCTGCATTACGCAGTACAATGACTTAAAATATCAAATTATGGGTGATTCAGAAATCCTTGACGTATCAGCCATTTATGCTACTACATTGTATCACCATGTTGAATGTATGAAAGTTAATAATAAGCACTTTCATGAATATAATGCATTTGTAAAATAATAGATGAATGTATTAACCTAATTAAAAACCAACATAAACTTAATTAATTTAATATTGATATATTTAATTTTTCCATGTTAATAGAAACTGTTATTTTTATCAATATATTTTCTCGTTTAAATAAATATTAAAAGTAATATCTTACTGATTTGTGAGTTAATTTTAGAAACTTCTTTAGATGGAGGCTGCCCAAAAACAACTCCTTTCATTCGTTCTATTGGAGGAGCCCTATTCTGCTGGCCACCAAATTTACCATTACTTCGAATTCTTTCCCCTGTCCTCGTCAACAATGTTGGACAGTAACCATGTTTTACCACCTAAAAATATTAAATTTAAAATTAATTTTAAAGATGATATATTTAAATAATTTTTATTACATGTTTAAGAAAAAATTGTTTAAAAGTATTTTTCAAGATAAAATATTTAGATTTTATCTTAAATATAAATAAATATATGTGAATAAATTTTAACATTTTTAAATTTATACAAATATTGCCACATCTCTCTTACAAAAACAGAAGATTGTACTGATATCATAAAATTTATTATAAACTTTAAATACTCTTTGAAAACTTTAAAATTATTGAATTAATTTTAAAANAATACTTACTAGAACTTTGTCTGAAAACCTCATCATAAAAACAAGTTTTTCTAGCATTTTACATACTTTTAAACTTATATATGAACAATTAAAATATAAACATAACTAAGAATCAGAAAAACAAAACATAATCAACATACACAATTATTTATGTTAAAAACTATAACCTTAAACAATGAGCACAAGACCATCAACAACACTTAGTAAAAGGTCACTTTATGTCAGTATTAATCAAATATGCAACCAATAAAAAACTTAATGAAAACTGAGAAGAGATTAAACTTATCCAAATAACAAAATAAAAATATCTAATAATGATAGCAGAGGAGCTTTGAATAATTGAAAAGTTTTATAAAGGTGAAAAAATAACAAAATCTGAAAAAAGAAACAAATTTGTTAAACTTATGAATTGGGCCTAAACTCTATGAAAAGCAAAAATGCCAAGAAACTTGTGTTTAAATTTTATTGCATATCAATATTTTCTATATATAGATAACATTGACAAGGTCATTGCAAAAAATAAGCAGTTTTTAAATCATGGCCTAAATAAACTCAATTTTTCAAATGAATTTAAAGTTCAAAAGCTAATTGAACGGTTAACCTTAATTTATGGGTAAGTGTGAAAAACTGTATATATATTGTTAAACTGGATTAGATTGGATTGTATTAATGGGATAAGGTAATGCAACACAAGGACAATCTACTAAGCTCTTGAGAAAATTTCCTATAAGAGACTAGATTTAACTGTTAGATATTGAAGAAAACCTGGAAAATTCCATACAACCAGCTGTTGGCCAGATGTGGCCACTGATGGGTTATTGTTAAATTATATATTGTTATCCTTTTTTGTTTTCATATAAGTTTATTATAACCTAAAGACAATGAGTTTTAACTCCTCAAAAGTACTTGATAAATTAAAACAAAGTTCTTGAGAAAAAAGCCATATTTTATTTTTTTGACTATAAATACCAGGAGTAACAACCAAACATTTTTCACAGCAGGCCACATAACTGAGAGAATGACAAGCCNCAAAATAATAAAAACTATAAAAATATGAAAATGTTTTAAATTATAATAAATCAGTGAAATTAATATATGAAGTACATTTAGAATATTTATATCATATAATGTTAATTGTAGAAAAATATTTAGTTTTCAATATAAACTATTTAGATACCATTATTACTGATATAATTTTCTATTATATGAATCCAGAATTGATTTGCTAACAACTCATTTTTATTAACAGGAACTATAGAGTTTTCATATGAAATAAAATAAATTTGACTGGCAAAATTAGCATTTACTATATATTTTTAATGTTTAAAAATATTTAATATTTTGGAAGTCTCTGAATAGAAATGTATTCAAAATACTTTTTCTTTAAATTTTGCAAAACTTTTAAAATATCTTTACTTTTTTAAAAGAAGGGGATAGATGAATTCTGTAATGAGGCTTTTCAATGTATGGTTAAATGTAAAAATTAATAATAATAAAGAGAAGTAAACAATTATTATAATTAATCTGAGATTTATAATCTGCATTAAACAGTACAATGACTTAAAATATCAAATTATGGGTGATTCAGAAATCCTTGACGTATCAGCCATTTATGCTACTACATTGTATCACCATGTTGAATGTATGAAAGTTAATAATAAGCACTTTCATGAATATAATGCATTTGTAAAATAATAGATGAATGTATTAACCTAATTAAAAACCAACATAAACTTAATTAATTTAATATTGATATATTTAATTTTTCCATGTTAATAGAAACTGTTATTTTTATCAATATATTTTCTCGTTTAAATAAATATTAAAAGTAATATCTTACTGATTTGTGAGTTAATTTTAGAAACTTCTTTAGATGGAGGCTGCCCAAAAACAACTCCTTTCATTCGTTCTATTGGAGGAGCCCTATTCTGCTGGCCACCAAATTTACCATTACTTCGAATTCTTTCCCCTGTCCTCGTCAACAATGTTGGACAGTAACCATGTTTTACCACCTAAAAATATTAAATTTAAAATTAATTTTAAAGATGATATATTTAAATAATTTGTATTACATGTTTAAGAAAAAATTGTTTAAAAGTATTTTTCAAGATAAAATATTTAGATTTTATCTTAAATATAAATAAATGTATGTGAATAAATTTTAACATTTTCAAATTTATACAAATATTGCCACATCTCTCTTACAAAAACAGAAGATTGTACTGATATCATAAAATTTATTATAAACTTTAAATACTCTTTGAAAACTTTAAAATTATTGAATTAATTTTAAAATGTGAATTATTTTATTTACAAAATAAAACAAATCACATTTTAAAAGTAATTCAACAATTTAGAAGTTTACTTAATAAAATTTGATAGCTAAATAAAATAATGTTAACATTATTTTATTTAGCTATCAAAAAGATTTATGGACTGTTCATAAATTATGTAACAAAGATATGGGTGGGTGGGCGAGCATGGAAGTAATTGTTACAATGCATTACAAGGGAATGGCGAGTTCTGCAAAACAATGCTAGCATCTCAACCCTTGGGTAACAGAATGATTCATTTTTGTTTTTAAACGTTGCATAGTGAAGCATACTGTTTATGTTATTCCTTCGTATGTTATACAGGTATAACATATAAAACAGTATAATAGAAACAGTATGCTTCACTATGTTGTGTTCTCATGTTGTGTATTATTCCTTAGTAGAATTAAGGGAGCCAAACAAAAAAATGTTTTATGTAATTTTGAAGGTGGATATGTGCAAAGCATTATGGAGTATTACAGGGTGCTGAGACAATAGTCAAAAAGTATAAAAATAGCATTATGTAATTCATAGACAATCTTTATGTAAAAATAATTAGGTATATTTTTTAAAGTTAGCTTCAATCAAAAATTAAAAACCCATAGCAGGTAATCAAGATTACACTACTTATCACCAATTTTCTTTTGTTTATTCTGATGAAATACATTCGAAAATCTAAAAAATAACACCTAAAGTTTAAACAAAACTTTAAATGTCACTTATATTACCTAACAATTGAAACTGAATATGTAAAATGACTAAAATAGAAACAGGTTTTAATATACATACATGTTCTCTGTAAGAAGTAGCATCATCTAATGTATCCAGCACAATAGCATCACCAAGTAACATTCCAAAAACTGGAACATACACAAGAAATAAAACAATTTAATTAATAATTTTTAACAACGTTAATGTATAATAGAAGTCTTACAAGCTTAAATTTAATAATGCTCCACTCAATTCATATTCATATATGCTTGTCATCCCTATTTATTAAAATAAAAATAAAACAATTTAATTAAGAATTTTTAACAACGTTAATGTATAATAGAAGTCTTACAAGCTTAAATTTAATAATGCTCCACTCAATTCATATTCATATATATAAATGTTAAGGTTATTCATTAAAGAACTTATAATCCAAAAGATTAATAATGATTTTACTACAAAAATTATGTTGTCAAAAGATAAATCATAATGACAGGCAAGCAATAAAAAAAATTATAACAGATGATTGAAGACTATTCTAGAAATTTGTTATTGTTTTAGGTTTTATCATCAGGAGTTTTAAGAAACTGATGATGTAATAATTGTCAATAATAAATTTAATATTAATTAATAATATTGGTTTTCATAAAATGAACGGCATTAACATTTAGATGATCGATACAATACACATTGTAAGAAGCTTTTATAAATCAGATAATAAACTATAAATGTTCTTGGTGTAGTAATAATAACCATTATCTGTATCTAAAATGTCATTCAAAGGTAATTTTTGAATTTAGTGTGGTTCATCTCTTCTTCTCAAGCGCAATCAAATCAGATTTACGACATTCTTGCAAATATCATCAAGAATTTTAACTGCTAGACATGTTTCTATCCCGTTATTATTATTTTTCTCATCATATTTTACTGTTCAACTTTTTCTTTGATGATAGAATATTATCTTTCTACATCCATTTCATGAGTTTCAGATTCAAAACAAATATTAAAAAATTTGGAATTCAATCGAGAAAGCATTAAAAAAATACATATATACATTTTTGATGAAATTTATATTTTTTAAAGAACTCTAAACTATTCAGATCATAAAAATAATTTACAGATAATTTTAAAAATTTTACCTAAATATATTTCACTTAATAGATAATTAATTTAATACTAATATTAATANCTTTTAGTAATATTACTAACAAAAATTTAAACAAAAAAATTAAACTACTGTTATGAAAATCATTAATGACATAACTCAATATTAAAGATATATTATAGTCATGAACCAATGCTTAATAGTCTTAACATCATTTTTACTTTCCCATGTGGGTGTGTAGGGAACATGACTTTGTTCACTCTCCTTGAAGCTTTATAATTCCTGTGTTTTTTGTTGTAAATTTGTGAAATTTTGCTGGGAAATTTGTGTATTAGGGAAATTGATGCTATTAATTTTTGGTAGTTAAAGATTGACTGAGTGGGGAGATAAAGGGGTGTCATGTGTCATATCTCAAGTAGGGTCTGACTTAATGATGAGTTTACTCATTGCTAGCATTTACAATTACTTTACTTGTATTTTGAACTTTATTAATAATAATGTCTTATTTAAAACATAAAATAAGAGCTGCAGGTCAAGAAATAATTATCATAAAAAAGAGTCAACTGTATTCCTGTAAGGGAATGATGCTGGCCTGTCAATAGATTCTTCAGTCTGCTCAAGCATTTGTTAGCCTGGATCTTCTAGAACCTGCACATCAGACTACATTAAAAATATTTTCATTGTTTATATTAATCCAATCAATATCAATAGATTAAATTACTGATTAATTTCAATATAATATATATACCATATATATTAATGTATATTGTATAATGTAGTTTCATAATAATAATCTAAAATTTCACAATTTATGTAAATATGTAGTTCATTTCACTTTTACCAGATGGTGAAGTGTGTCCAAAAAAAACTGATGGATTTACAGAAACTCTTATTTACATTAGGAAAATAAATACAGCCACACAATTTTCTTTAATTAGTGAGTAAACTCAAAAAGATTTCCAATCTTTAAGAAAGCGTAATACGAGTATCATGCATTACTTTCACAATACTGAGATGATATTCTCTCTCTCTCTGTTATATAACATGTCTTTAGTAACAGTTATTATGTAATCTTTTAAATATTTCAGTATCTGTAAGAGGTGTTTTATAAACCAAATCTTTCACATAATCCCACAAGAAAAAGTCCAAAGGGTTATGTCAGGAGAGTGGAGTGGTGACTGAATTGATCCATCTCAACTCATCCATCAATGAGAAAAAACTTCATACAAAACTTCTATGGTACGACTTTAAGTAATTTGTAATTTTTAGATTTTAAATATGTGAAGTTTATCAATTATTTTGTCCAAGTAGTAATAATTAAGATAACAAATTATGTTATTGTAAAAATAAAACGGAATTTATGGTGGAAACGTTATGTAAACCTATGAGTCGTCTGGTGTTCTACTGTATATTTGGTGTTTGTATCGAAGTGAGGTATGTTTCACAAAAAATTTTATGTACGTTTTTTAGTTTTTATTTGTGTTCGGTTGTATCCATATAATGTTTTATATATATTTAGTTGGCTGAGGAGGGGCAAATGCCCGAAACGTAGATGTATAGCAAAGCGTTCNTGACTTGAAACAAGAACACACTATTCTTACTTTGTGCTTTGTACATTTTTATTGTGTATAAATAGAAACAAACTATTTCTGTGATAATTATTGATTCAAACTGTGCTAAATATTTCTGCCTCTCATATTGAACTGTGTATTATTGTCTTTGAAAAAGTCTTTAAAAAAATCATACACAAGCTAACTGGTTTTACCTAGCACAGCATCTTGTCATTTGTCATCTCTAAAAGGAGAACCCACATCTCTTACCAAGAACTGCATGCTTTGAGCACTTTTTACAAGAAAATCTTAACTCTGGACCTACCCATTGCACTGATAACCCCTAACAATGAGCTTGACATGCCAGCTTATTAGGTTTGCTGGCATATCGGATACAGGGTTAACAGAATTTTGTTGTATATGTATTATTTAATTAACATCACATCATGTCTTGTTACTGTTTTACTGATAAAAAAGAAACTTACTTTCCCCATTCAGGAAGGTTTTTTTTATATATTGAATCTAGAGGTAATACTTGTTGCTGTCCATTTGTGCGAGTATGCAGTTCTCGAGCCTGAAATATATAGAATTTAATGAAAATTTAATATTATAAAATCTTCACTTAACTCATTAGAAAAAGTCAAACAATTAATATTTACTTCTTTTAAAGTTAAATGAAAATTATTATTATTAATAGATTTAAGAAATTAAAAATAATAAAAATTCTAATATTGAAAATATAAAAATTTAATTTTATAACTGCAGTAAGTTTTAAAAAATAAATAAAATCTTGTAAACTTACTTTAGACATAGAATGTGTAATTAAACAATCCATATCTGATTGCATATGCCAAGATATAACACGAGCAATGTCATCATCTTCCACATAAGCAAGGTGACCAATCTAAATATTAAATTTTTAATTAATGTTCATTTCTTCAAAAGTTTTTTTATGTAAATATGTAAATAAATTAATATACAAGTGTTGATCATTTAATTTGTGAAATAATACTAGATTTTTCCTTATTGTCATCTTGTACATTATTTGAAGATTTGTGTCATGCTTGAAGTACTTCCCTTTGACATGTACTGTACATACTTCTGCCATCTCCACATCCATGCATCATATACTTTCTGGAATCTAGTTTCGGACATATGTTGAAAAGTTGTCATTTTGTGCCTCCTCATCACATGTGAAGCATTGCCTTTCAAGACTTTCTTCAGTGATGAAAACAAAAATTGCAAAGGGTTAAGACTAGTGAATGTATGGGATATTTCAAAACTTCTACTCTAACTGTAATATTGGCTGTCTAGCATTATCACAATGCAAAAACCACTTCACATTAACCAGTACTGGATATTTTTCATGAAAGACATGACCAAGTTTTTTCTAAGAATCTTAGTGTATCCTCAAGGTACAAAATTGTATTTGCACATTGTGTACTTCAAGGAATACAGATAAAACAAAAACCATTTGAGAAACATAGTTCTTGTTTCAAAATAATTGTCAATGACAAACTATTAATAAAGGATGTACAAATGAAATCAACATGACAGGACCTGATCAGCACCTATGGAGGCTGGCAACTGACACTCTTTCTCAAAAGATTGTGTAGAAAAAAATGTGGGAATAATCCTAGAAATTAAATGATGCATATTTTAATCTATTTTTATTTTTAAAAATATTACATACTTTTCCAAGAACACCAGGCTCATCAGCAGCTACTGTGAGAGAACATTCTCTTCTTTTTGCTTTTTCTAATTTAGTTTTGGCCACATGGCATTTTTCAATAGTTGCATTAATCTGAAGAATCTGAAAAGTAAATTAAATTAACATAATAATTAAACAGTTAAAAAAATCTTATATTATTGTTCAATGCTTTTAACAATACGGATTTTTTTACTTGATTAAAATTTTCAATTTAACAACTGTAAATAATAAAGATGAAAATATCACACCTACAAAACAAATTAGATAGATATAGAAAGTTGCACTTTGATATTAATAAGTGTTCTGTCCAATTCTTTTTCAGGCTATCAGAAATTTCCTATGATTTCTGTGTTTAGAAAATGCTATTGATTGACAAATCAATATAATTAAATAATAATTATGCTTATACACAAAACATATACAGTTTAAATAATTAAGGAATAATTCACTATATATAATTATTAATAAAAATTTATGTAATTTTAAGTACATATTCTGAATTATAAGATGCATTCAAAAAGTTACTTCATGGCATTTCCAAATTATTGCACTTAATGTAGATAATCAGCCTACCTAATCAGAACATTGTTATTAAATATTTATAAAAACTTTACATAAAGATAAAAAATTTATTATCTCTAAAGCTAAGCACATTCAATTATAATAGTATAAGAACATAAAATTTTAAGAAATAAAAATACGCAAGCTTATTATTTTTGAATTATTTTTGTTTTCTAAAATGCATTTTATACTTGTACCATATAATATTTAAATAAGATAATATTCATCATTGTCTTTTTATAAATTTCTTTGTGTTTCAACCACAATTTCCTAAGCCTAAATTGAATCGTTTGATCATTTAATAGGTGATTTAAACTTCAGTCAATCAGCTTTTCAAAGTTAGCATCCACAACCTACAAAGTTTCCCTATGTTAAGAATACACTGGCTCCACTAATATGAACACAAACAAGTACAAATAAAAAGTTTTCATCCTACTAGAAAACCTTTAAACTTCTCAATAACTAATGTTCCAAAAGAAAAAATAATAATAATACAAAATACAAATCAATCCAAATTTAAAAATTGGATGCATTCTCATTCTGAACATATTCTCTATTAAAAAACATAAAATATTCAATTCTTTTGGGATTTATTACTGACAATCCTAAAAATGATAAATTTTAAAATTAATAAAAGAATTTTGTTTCTAGAGATGCTTTACTCTTCCTATATAAGAACTTTTATATAATACCTGGTAACACTCTAAAACAGAGGTCAAACATTTTTCACAGCAGGCCACATAACTGAGAGAATGACAAGCCCGAGCCGCATAACCATTTTGTTCTATACAGCACACTGAATATACAAAAAATAAAGACAACCAACATATTTATTTACCAATATACAAACACAATTGCTGCAGCAAGCTTGTAATCACTTTTCTTAGAAACCTCATTGCAGGTACTTACACAAAAAGTGCTCTGATATCCAAAGTTGCAAAAAGTCACCAAATTTTTTATTTCACTGATTTTCCTAAAAATTATATTACTGTCAGATGCAAAAATCAGATTGGAGCAATTTTGGCATTTATACTTACACTTATTTTAATTTTTTCTACATAGTAAGTTTATCTACAATCTATGATATTTGTGGCACAGTGCAGCAGCGGACCGGATGAACTAACCTTGCAGGCAGTAGTTTGGTGACCCTTGCTCTAAAACATTAACTTCCATGTCTTTCTAATCAGTTTGGTTGTTTCAAATTAATGCAACATAAGCAACAAATAAAAAATTTTAAAAATGAATAATTTTATATAATATTTTAAAATATTAAAGTATTAATTATATGAGATATGTTAAATACTATTAATGTGTTTTTTTAACACGTTGTCTTCTTAGAGAAGGCCAGATGCCAAGACAGTAATGACATTAGCCTATCACTCTTATGATCCAGGTTCAAGTCTGGATCACAAACCTCAGAAATTTTTTGTAGGTGGTCTATCCCAGATAAATTGGGCCTTATTCCTCACCATCTAGTTTCCTCCATTATGGGCATGGCAGAACCCATGACAAGAATAGAACAGACTTTCTTAGTGCCCATAGGGCAAAAACAGTAAAATAAATATAAAAAAAGTGCTTTATATTCAAAGCATTCCATTTAATACAATGATTATCCTTAGCAAAATCATATGTTAAATATGTTGGTGTAAATAAACATAAGTAATTGACTAATATAAAATGTTTAAAATAAATAATAAAAAGTATACCATAATAATTTCTATATTATTTGTTAATTTGCACATCATTTTACAAATTATATAATTAGATATCTTATTTATTTATTATATTAATGTTTTAAAATATACTTTTAAAAATTATTACAGAAAATTACCGTCTGTATACTTTGTATTGAAAGACCAGATTTTTTTAATTCATTCCTAAGCCGATTTTCTTCATTTGATGCGGCCTTTGCTGCAGCTTTAAAAATTTATTAATAATTATTAATTATTTCATAATAACAAAATAATATAAATATTAAAAATTATATAAAATATATACTTTAACATACTTTCTAATTCACTCAAAAGTTGCTGACTAGTTTCAAATAATGTCTCATATGTTTTTTTAGCTGTTAGAAGTTTATCTCTTTCTTTTGCAAGTTTTCCCATTTCCATTTGTTTTTGAGCCTCTGTTAACATAAATTTTAGTAATTAATATTTCAATTTAAAAATAATAATACTTACTAGAACTTTGTCTGAAAACCTCATCATAAAAACAAGTTTTTCTAGCATTTTACATACTTTTAAACTTATATATGAACAATTAAAATATAAACATAACTAAGAATCAGAAAAACAAAACATAATCAACATACACAATTATTTATGTTAAAAACTATAACCTTAAACAATGAGCACAAGACCATCAACAACACTTAGTAAAAGGTCACTTTATGTCAGTATTAATCAAATATGCAACCAATAAAAAACTTAATGAAAACTGAGAAGAGATTAAACTTATCCAAATAACAAAATAAAAATATCTAATAATGATAGCAGAGGAGCTTTGAATAATTGAAAAGTTTTATAAAGGTGAAAAAATAACAAAATCTGAAAAAAGAAACAAATTTGTTAAACTTATGAATTGGGCCTAAACTCTATGAAAAGCAAAAATGCCAAGAAACTTGTGTTTAAATTTTATTGCATATCAATATTTTCTATATATAGATAACATTGACAAGGTCATTGCAAAAAATAAGCAGTTTTTAAATCATGGCCTAAATAAACTCAATTTTTCAAATGAATTTAAAGTTCAAAAGCTAATTGAACGGTTAACCTTAATTTATGGGTAAGTGTGAAAAACTGTATATATATTGTTAAACTGGATTAGATTGGATTGTATTAATGGGATAAGGTAATGCAACACAAGGACAATCTACTAAGCTCTTGAGAAAATTTCCTATAAGAGACTAGATTTAAGTGTTAGATATTGAAGAAAACCTGGAAAATTCCATACAACCAGCTGTTGGCCAGATGTGGCCACTGATGGGTTATTGTTAAATTATATATTGTTATCCTTTTTTGTTTTCATATAAGTTTATTATAACCTAAAGACAATGAGTTTTAACTCCTCAAAAGTACTTGATAAATTAAAACAAAGTTCTTGAGAAAAAAGCCATATTTTATTTTTTTGACTATAAATACCAGGAGTAACAACAACACTTAATTATACAAATGCTCAAAAATTCAGAAAGGAAAAAATACAAGTAAAAAAATTATGGCGAAATTAGTTTTATCAATTTTTATATTCTATTCACTTAGACAAACTACATTAATATTTATTACCAATTTAATAACTAAAATCTTAAAATATAATATAAACAGAAAATCAATTCTAGTATTATTATTATTTATATTTAATATTTAAATATGAAAAGATATACAGAATGATCATAATTAAAGAGTAGATGTTCAAGGTTCTCTTTAGAAAAAATTTATTGGAAAAATCTCAACCAAATTTGTATAGTTTTAATTTTTGGAAAAAATTTTACTTCAAAATTCAGCCACTAGGATGAAATTTGGTACTTTTAATGTGAATGTTACATATGTTTTCTAACAAATTTTGGGAGTTAAGAAATTAAATGCAATAATTTTATTTCAATTACAAATGTGGTTACAGATGTGAAATGTAAAATTGATGATTAGATCAAAAATATGGTTCTATACATGCTCCATTTCCATGCTCTAAAAATTGCATTTGCTGCACAATACACTTGACAGCAGAATGTAACAGTGCAGAGTTGTTGCACATTATGAAATTCTGTATAAAAATGTTAATGTATAAAATGTTCACATTAAGGGAACAGTAGTACCATATTTTCTCTTAACAGCTGAATTTTGAAGTAACATTTTTTCCTGAAAATCAAAACCAGATACTTGAGAAATCTCAGCCAAATATGGTGTACCAAAATTGCCCAATGTTCTCTCTATAGAGAGCTCTGAACACCTACTCTTTAATTATGATTACTCTGTATATAAAATTATTCCTACCATTATAAAATAGAAAATGAATATCATATGGTGGAACAGTTATCCCAAGAGGTAAATCTGGTAGATTAGGTGTGCAACGTAGAATATATTCTTTTCCATTAACACCAGGTGTGTTTTCCAGAATTGTCAGATGCTGTATTTAAAAAAAAAAATATATATATATATATATATTTAGTGAATTTTTTTCAGTACTAAATTGTATTACATATTATAAAATGAAAATTATACTACAAAAAGAGTAAACTGGATAATATGATTAAAATTTGCAGCCCGGCATTGTGATGATGTCACAATAAATAATTTCTTGTTTAATTGTAAAATTATGTACCATGTATAAAAATATTTATCAGAATTTACTTACTTCCAGAAAAGCTTGACCTCTTGAAATGGGTACTTCAATAGATGTCACATTTCCAACCATACGGGGAATTTCACCAGGAGTAGGAGCAGTAATTTGTACATTTAAAGTTCCACTTAAAAGAAGACCTGCTAAATTATCATACTGATCCTAAAAAAAAATTATTTGAACAAACATATATCTATATAAACACAAAAAGTTAAAAATTAATTTTTATGTACTGTATAGTATACTACTACTACTACTACATTACTAGATACTATATTAGAGGCAGTCTCTGTTTGTTTGTAACATGTAGTAGACCAAACGGGGGTAAAAGTCATTAAAATGCAAATCAAATTAGCTGTTACATGATTTTTCCATGAGGTGTGTTTTGTGCTAGCGAATAACACTGAGTGTGAAAATCATCACCTGACTAAATATAGTGACTAGTGGAGAAATATATACATCTCATCTCTCTGTTACCCTAGTTTACATGTGCCCTATGAGTGTGTATCATATGCAGATTTCTATACTTTTCTTGATAAAAGTATTTAATATAGCATTCCAAGCCTGAGTGATCATCGTAGTTATAGGAAGCCAAATAATAATAAAAAAAAAACGTAAACATTGAGATGCTTGAAATAATAAAACATTTTGAAAGAAACAAGAGCATATATGACATTCTATGTGCAACAGACCTAAAGGAATCTACAGTGTGCACTATCAGAGACAATACTGTAAAAATAAAGGAAACTTGTATAGTAGAAACAATTGTGAGTGCTGCAAAATCTAGTAGAAGATCTAGAGAAACAAAAAAAATGTAAAAACTTTTAAGTTTAGTGTTAAGTATCAAATATGAGACAAAGACATAATCAGAAGTAAGCTTTCTCACAATTAAACAAAACACATTAGCTATATATAAAGACCTTAAAATCTCCAAATCCTGCAGAATTACCATCTTTTGGTGATAGAAGCAACTGTTTTAATAGTCTCAAACTTTTTTCCCACAATGTTAAACTGTTGGCAAAGCCTTGAGTTAAGACATGGAAGCTATGAAATCATTTCCACCTGATTGAAGCAACTGATTGAAAAAAAGATAACTACACATTGGATCATGCTATTTCAAAAGCACTTTATCATCAAAAAATCTGGACTGTGTGATTTTACTGATATATAGTCTTTATCAGCTGATTTTGTACTTTAATTTGCAGTTTAGTAATTTTAAAATTTTAAAATTACTTCTTTTCTTAATTTTTCCATACAGTACAGATTAGCATTACAAAATATGAAGTGTATGAGAAAAGTAATGAAATTGGCATCACTGAGAGCAATCTGGCAACATGCAGGCTTCCCTTTCACGTAGCTTGTATGTCAGTCCCTCCTACAGTTTCAACCTCATGCAGTAACTATGCGACTGTAGAGAGAGTGCTAAGTGAAGTTTTGTTTTTGTATTGCATTACAGAAAATGGAACAGTGAAATTTGGAGCAACAGTATACCATCAAATTTTGTGTTAAGCTTGGTGAATCTGCAAGTTTTACCTATGAAAAGTTGCAACAAGCCTATGGAGAACATTCCTTATCAAGAGCACAAGTTTTTCTGGAGGCACAAAGCATTTTTGGAGGGCTGAGAAGCATTAGATGACGAACCTTGCTCAGGGAGGCCTTCAACATTGATAACTGCAGAAAATGTGGAGCAAGTGAGGGCTCTTGTGAGGTCAGACCATTGACTAACATTGAGGGTGATGAGTTAAATTTGAATTGTTTTACCCTTCATCAGATTTTGACTCAAAATTTGGGCTTGAGAAAGTTGTGTGCCAAGATGATGCCAGAAAACTTCATGATTGAACAGAAAGACAATTGGATGCAAGTGTGCCTTGACCTTCTCAACAGAACTGAAAAAAAAAATGTCAAAGTGAATAGTGGCACACTGACAAAGCCCCTTGACTGAAGAAAGCTCACATGAGCAAATCAAAAATCAAGTCCGTGCTCATTTGTTTTTTGACAGTATGGGGGATCATTCACAAAGAATTTGTGCCTCCAGAACAAACTGTGAACCAATTTCTTTTATAAAGAAGTCTTTGAAATTTTTAAAAAATTAAAAAGCCCAAAAGATACTTAAAGATATCTCTTAAACTAATGAGTTAAAATTACCCAGTATTTTCCGATTTCGACTCAATTGTTTTTTTTAGTTTCTTCGAAAATTTCACTCAACTTACATTGCGGACTTTACAAGTTTTACCTTTAAAAATAACTATTTTGCAGTTACAACAGAGTACTTTCATCAGAAGGAGGGAATAGCAATGGGATCAGTGGTGGGCCTGAAGTTGGCTGAAATATGCATGATCTCAATCGATGAAAAAAATCTTCCAATTAAGAGTATTGTCTTCTATGCGAGATATGTATATGACATATTAATTTTATATGATTCTGATATTACTACAGCACAGTACATTGAAAGTTATGCAAATACTTTGAACAAAAATATCAAATTTACTTATGAAGAAGAGATACATAATAAAATTAAATACTTGGATGTCATAATAACGAGACAGAAAGAAAAAGTATTGTTTTGTAAGTATGAAAAGACATGTAATATCAATAAGATAATTAACTACAGATCATACTGTCCTGAAAAAATTAAACAAAATGTATTTCTTATGGAATTGCAGAAAATATATAATAGAACATCTTTGCAAAAATATATAGATATTGAGGTTAAAGAAGTTTTTAAGAAATATTTGTTAAACAACTATCCACAGCAACTTATATATAAATGGCATGATTAACTACAGACATACTGTCCAGAAAAAATTAAATGAAATGTATTTCTTATGGAATTGCAGAAAATATATAATAGAACATCTTTACAAAAATATATAGATATTGAGGTTAAAGAAGTTTTTAAGAAATATTTGTTAAACAACTATCCACAGCAACTTATATATAAATGGCATGATCTTTATATTAATAATAGATTTAATGTTAAAAATAAAAAAATTGATAATGTATTTATTAAAATTCCTTATATTAAAAAACTGTATGAAAAATATAAATATTTCTTAGGTAACCACCCAGTGAATCTGATAGGAAAACAAAATAATAGATTTAGTAAAAGCATTTATTTAATAAACAAAGGAAGGTCTACAATTCAGAAGAATCTTTTGGATGTGGCTGGAGTCATTTATAAACTTCAATGTACATGCACAGATAAGAAGGTTTACATCGGAGAGACAGGAAGAAAACTTGGAATAAGACTGAAAGAGCATGAAGCGGCAATACAATTAAAAAGAATAGAATCTCCCTGGTATTAACATTGTAGTAATAACACCTGTACTATTAATCATAATAACATAAAAATATTGTATAAAATAGAAAACTTATTTGTAAGACGCATTGTGGAACACTATTGTATTAAAAGTTATGCAAATACTATTAATTTGAATACAGGAGTCAACATAGATGCATGCTGGAATAGGCTAATCAAATATAAGAGTACAGATAATGTTAAACAAAATAACCACTGAAGAGGCTGTAAAGTGAAATGCATTTGGTGAAAATGTTTAATAAAGTAAGAAAGTTTTGATTGACTTCAATTCTTTCCACTTGAGTGTTTTTTAGTTTCTTCGAAATCAGAAAAAACTGAATAATTTTAACTTGTTAGTTTAAGAGATATCTTTAAGTATCTTTTGGGCTTTTTAATTTTTTTTTAAATTTATTGAATAAACCGATCCCATTGCTTTTATTTATATTTTTATACTTTGAAGTCTTTGAAAGTCTCAGAAAAAGGGTGCTTTACATCAGATGGGACATTGCAAACACTTGGATACTCTACCATGACAATGCCCTTCACATGGCCATCTCCATCAACCAGTTTTTGACAGAAACAGGGATTCCTGTGGTTCCCAGGCCATCTATTTGCCTGATCTCAGTCCATGCGACTTTTTTTTTGTTCCCCAAGATCAAAACCCATTTGAAAAGATGTCATCTTGGTACTGTTGATAACATCCAAAGGAGCATAACTGTGGAGCTGCAGGCAATTCCAGTTGAAGCCTTCCAGCACTGCTATGAAGACTGGCAACAATGTCTCCATCAATGTACAGCTGCCTAAGAAAACTAAAGGAATTATATAACTAACATATAAAAATAAAATAAAATTGTTACATAAAAAAATTTGTCTCATTGTTTTTATGCCCCACCATGTAATTATGTATCTTCTCAATGGTAGTCTTCCTACAAAATAGTACTACAAAAAGAAAAAAAAACAGATTCTTTTACTATTCCAATATTCATTTCCTCAATCATGCTGAATATTTTTGATTTTCAATGATTTAATGAAATGCAGTATGACCCAATCATGCTGCATTAAATGACATATTTACCTTCTGATTAGCACAAAATTATATCTGACATAACATTGTAGAATTCTTAATCATTCCATGATTACTAATCTGATTACCATACAAACTGTTTCATTTCTAAATTATCTTAGATAATTTAGAAATGAAACAGTTTTTTTATTGATATCAGTGAAGCTTCTGATTATTATTCCAAGCCTTTTGATAAACATTTCGTAAAATGATTTTGACATCTATCTCATTTTTACAGCTTGGTTCAATAACTACTTGTTACATATTTATAAAGTTAAAATTAATGATTAAGTTTTTTAGATTTCTGACCCCTCTGTGGAATTCAGCAAGAATCTTTTTTTACAGCTTATATTAATGGAAATCTTACTAGTCTTAACTCAACTGTAGCAGCATATGCTGTTGTTGCTATAAGGACCTTGAATAAGTTCTTGCTGTTTTTTTGTGAAAATTAACACTTTATTTTAAAAAAGTTGTAATAAACACGTTACTGAAAGTATTGTCCATCGCTAGCCACTACTTTCTCCCATCATTCTGGCAGCATTTGAATTCCACGTCGGAAAAACGACACGTCTTTTGAGGTTATCCAAGAATCAACCCATTTTTTGGCATCTTCATAAGAATGGAAGTGCTGCTCAGCCAGGCCATGTGCCATCGATTGAAACAAGTGATAATCCGAAGGGGCGATGTCTGGTGAATACGGCGGGTGGGGTAGGACTTCCCATTTAAGCGTTTCCAAGTACGTTTTCACNCTTAATGTTGTTTTGAAGATCATCATTAGTCTCAAACCTCTGCCTTCCTAGC